AGGACTCGCTTTCCTGTCTGTGTTAAAGTCTCCTCTGCTTTACCATGGCCATAACAGCTGAAGTGGACAATGAAGGACAAAGGACAGATGGTTCATTTTGGCTGGTGGTTTCAGAGGATTCAGTCCATCACTGTGGGGCCACATCATGGCCGACCAGGAAGGAGAGACTGACAAGAAATAACCAGTTGTAATAACGCCCATGCTGCATCCCTGGTGACCTACTTCCTTTAGCTAGGTCCTTCATTCTGAAGTCGCCACAAGCTTTCAAAATAGCACTACTGCCAAGATTTGTTAGCCCTGGCTGTCCTGGGACTGCTCTGTAGACTAGGCTGGCCTCGAACTCAGAGATCTGCCTGCCTCTGCCTTCCAAGTTCTCAGATTAAGTAGGTGTGCCCTGCCACCACCCACCTTCTGGTAAATTTTTCTTATTGCATTCTCTGTCTCTGTCTTCTTTTTCTTCATCCCCTCTCCCTCCCTGCTTCTTTTTGTTAGGGTCTTATGTTGCCCAAGCTGAACTCAAACTCGATAGGTAGCTGAGGATGACTTTGAACTCCTGATCCTCCTGCCCCTACTTCCCCAAGTGCTAAGATGACAAGTATGTGCCATCACACCTGGTTTCCTTGAGATTTTTTTTCTTTTCTTTTTTTCATGATAGGATTTCTCTTTATAGCCCTGGTTGTCCTGCAACTTGCTGTGTAGACCAGGCTGGACTCAAACTCGGGGATCTGGCTGCCTCTGCTTCCCGAGTGCTGGGATTAAAGGTGTGCCCCAATAACTACATGAAGACACCTTGACTTTTGGTACACTGGTGGTATGGGTGAAAAATAGGGAACAAGTGTGTAAAAGACTTCAGATATCTGATTTGAGGGTGTATTGAAGGTTATCAGCTAGCTTTGAACTCACTGTGTAAACCCAAGATAGCTTCAAACTTCCATTCCTCCTGCCAAAGCCTTCCGAATACTAAGACTGTAGGCGTATATCACCCCTCTCAGCTACGATGCTTGATTCTTGATACCAGCAGGGATAGAGGGAGATATGGCTCTTACTCCTGCCCTCTACCACTTCTACTGTGGTCCCTGCCTTTCCCTCTGACGCTGTAGTGTGGTCCCTGCCTTACCCTCAGATGTCGTGGTCCCTGCCTTACCCTCTGACACCACGGTCCCTGTCTTACTCTCTGATGCTCTGTAGTGTGGTCCCTGCCTTTCCCTCTGATGCTGTAGTGTGGTCCCTGCCTTACCTTCTGACACCATGGTCCCTGCCTTAGCCTCTGACACCATGGTCCCTGCCTTAGCCTCTGACACCATGGTCCCTGCCTTACCTTCTGACTCTGTGGTGTGGTCCCTGCCTTACCCTCTGACTCTGTATTGTGGTCCTTGCCTTATCCTCTGATGCTGTGGTCCCTGTCTTACCCTCTGACTCTGTATTGTGGTCTCTGCCTTACCCTCTGACGTTGTGGTCCCTGCCTTACCCTCTGACTCTGTATTGTGGTCCCTGCCTTACCCTCTGATGCTGTGGTCCCTGCCTTACCCTCAGATGCCGTGGTCTCTGCCTTACCCTCTGACGTTGTGGTCCCTGCCTTACCCTCTGACTCTGTATTGTGGTCTCTGCCTTACCCTCTGACGTTGTGGTCCCTGCCTTACCCTCTGACTCTGTATTGTGGTCCCTGCCTTACCCTCAGAAGCCGTGGTCTCTGCCTTACCCTCTGACTCTGTATTGTGGTCCTTGCCTTACTCTCAGATGCCGTGGTTCCTGTCTTACCCTCTGACGCTGTGGTGTGGTCCCCTGCCTTACTGTCTGACAGTCACCTGGGATGGTTCCCCTCCATATTGGCCACATGTGTTGCTCCTGCCCTGCCCCCATCATCAGTGCTGGTCCTGTGGCTGCATATTTCCGGCTGTGCTCTCCTCCTCCAAACTGCTCCCATCTGCTTTCCGTCTCTCCTGGAAGCCTCAAAACGTCTAGCCCACTGCTTCTCATTTTCTAATATGGCTTGGGACTTATTTTTAGCTTTGAAATTTCTAGGATACGGTGGTAGGTGGAGGGGATGGGAGCATGTTCTTGCTGGACATCTTAGCCTAATCTTCATGTTATTTGTTCTGTCCCCTTTCCACCTCTGCTCAGGTCTCTTTTCCTCTTACTTCCTGTAGCCAGTTACTGTCCTGCTGAGTCATACTCTTGTCCCCTTCCTGGGGGATTCTAGACAGTGGTTCTACCACTGAGACACACCTCAGCCCCTCACTGGGGGATTCTAGTCAGGTGCTCTACCACTGAGCCACACCCCAGCCTCTCACTGAGGGATTCTAGGCAGGTGCCCTGCTACTGAGTGGCCCTAGCCTCCAGAGGAGCTGATACGACAGGTCTGAGCCCTCCGGGACACTTCTAGTTCCACGGAGATTTCTGGCATGCTTGTGTCTCTCACACTTGCTGGCCCACACTTACCCTTCTGTACTCATGCTGTCCCTTGATGACTGATAGAACTGCAGTTAATGAATTTGATCTTTCCGTGCTTAGGTGGTAGCCTTTCCTAGAACTGACCCTCCTTTGTTTCCGTAGCTCCTTGTGCTCAGCAGGTGTTTGGACCTCTTCCCCTGTGTTCTGGTGCTGTAACCTTGTCCTTCTCTGTCATCCCCACTAGAGTAGCCTTTTGCAGCAAGGTGGGGCTGAGCCTCCTTCATGGGATCTGATGCAGGTTAGTGACTAGGATGAAAACAGGGCCCAGAGCCCGAGGTCCTCTCCCTTCCTTTCAGTCCCTGATATGGGGTCTCTGGTAGTTCATGCTATCAACTTGACAAGACCTAGAATCACATGGAAACAAAACCGTGGACATGTCTGGGAGGGAGTTTCTAGTCTGGGTTCATTCAGGCGAGAGTGTGGGCAGAACCTTGAGGTAGCTGGTCACACTGTCTTCACAGTCAGGAAGCAGGGAGAGGTGGGTGCTGGCAGTCAGCTTGCTTTCTCTGTCCCTGACTCCAGACCAACCACCGGATGGTGTCACCCATATTCAGAGCGGGCCTCCCCACCTCAGTTACATAGCTCTAAGGAGACCTCTCAGACACTTCCAGGGGGTGTCTTCTAGATGATTCTGAAGATCAGTGTTAACTGACGTTCTTCTGGGCTACCACACACGCCTTTAATTTCAACACTCGGTGGAGGCGGTGACAGGGGCTCTCTGTGAGTGGGAGGCCAGTCTGGTCTACATAGCAACTTCCAGGCCAGCTAGGGCTACACAGCAAGACTGTGTCTTGGGGGTGGGAAGAAGCTAAGGATTTGAAGAAAAAGAGAATGAAGTAGAAAATACCAATGATTCAATACTGATTTATTTGCTGATTTGCTTAAAGCGCCGCTTGCCCTGCCTACTGGCCGAGCGTGACTTCGCTCGCTACCGGGAACAGAATGACCTGGGTCGTTGCCCTTCACAACCTGCTGACTGCCATGTGTGCGACTGTAAACCTCGCTTGCCTGCCCCACCGTGTGGTTTTGGAGTATAATGTGAGAAGACAAAGTGGATCAGGGATCGAAGCCTTTCAAGGGCTGTCCTGACTTCAGTCCACTGGTGTTGGGGACTCCATAAGCCTCACAGCTGGCTGGGAGAGAAGAGGGAAACTCCAGTCAGTACCATCTTTGCAGACACTGGATCAAAAACATCTAGGTCTGATCTCATGGTATACTGTTACACATTTAAACATAGTATCACCGCAAAGCTTCAGGCATGGCTACATAGAAACTCTGTAGCAAAGCACCTTATTTACCATAAGGATGAATTCTATTGGCTGACTATGAGCTCAGCTATAGGGCCTAGAGAGGAAGGATCTGTAATGAACGTAAGGATGGATCCTATTGGTGGAGGATGCCAAGTGCATGGGACCTCTTTGATAAGGATGGGTCTACTCACTGAGAGATGTTGCTCAGTATTAGAGCCTAAACAATGCTCAGGATACTGGGGGAGGGGTCAAGTGGAGGCTGGCTCCTAAAAGAATAGCAAAGGATCATGGGTCATTTGACGGTGTTCACTGGCATTCCAGGTGACCAGGCACCATTTGTTCTTCTTTGAAGACAATAGGCCCAAGGGATGTGGGATGCCCTTCAGTACGCTGCAGATACATGTTGCTGTTATTGGTTGATGAATAAAGCTGCTTTGCCTATGGCAGGGCAGAATAGAGCTAGTCAAAAAAATCCAAGCAGAGATACAGGGGAGAGGAAGGCTGAGTTGAGAGAGAAGCCAGTTAGCTGTCAGAGCAGCAAGATGTACTAGAGACCAGATAACACCACCAAGTCGTGGATACACAGATTATTAGAAATGGGTTAATTTAAATGTAAGAGCTAGCCAGTGATAAGCCTGAGCCATTGGCCAAATGATTATAATTAATATTAAGGCTCTGAGTGATTATAAGTGGCTTCAGGACCAGGCGGGTAGCTTCCAGCTACACCCATATGATTGCCAATCCTGGTTTCTCCAATGCTTACTCTAAGCTGTACTTCCTACAGACCTGCAACATCTTCTCTCTTCCATTCTTTTTGGTATTGGATGCCTTTTCTAGAAAGAGTCCCACAGCAGGCAGATCTGGTCTGGGCCCGAAGATGGTGGTTAATATTGATTGCCAAGTAGACAGAATACAGAATCACCCAGGAGTCATAGCTCTGAGTATGTTTCTAGATCAGGTTAATTGAAGTGGGAAGACCCACTCCTAATGGGCAGCATCATTCCCTAGGCTGGGGACCTGGGAGGAATAAAAGGGAGAAAGTGAGCTGAGCACCAGTATCCGTTTCTCTCTCTGCTTCCTGATTGTGGTTGCCATGTGACGGGTTGCCACCCTTTACTGGCCATGATGGATGGACCACACCCGCAGACTCTGAGCTCACATCAACCCTTCCTTCCTTAAGCTGTTTTTGTTGGGTATTTTATTTTGACAGTACCCCTTTCCCCACAGCACAATCTCCTAGAATGCCGTTGGACCCTCTGAGAACGGCCAAGGCTAATGCAACTGTTGCTGTCCCCACAGGCACTGGTGCCATCACACGGTGACAAGGACAGTGTCCTGCCAGGTGCAGAACGGCTCGGAGACGGTGGTCCAGCGAGTCTACCAGAGCTGCCGGTGGCCTGGGCCCTGTGCCAACCTCGTGAGGTAAAGGCACCCGGGGTGCCCTGCCCTGCCTTGTCTTTCTGTTCCCTTGTATGGTATGACCCAAGGACAGCTCTGGGGTTGTCTGGCTTGATGCCTGGAGAGGAGAGGTGAGCGCAGATTCTGTGTACAGCCGAGTGAGGTGTACGTGCCACCAAGAGAGGGACGTCCTCCTACCCGACACAGTGTCATCGTTCAGGATTGTTATAGATGCTTGCAGCGAGGGGTCAGAGGAGATGGTGAGGGTGGTGCTAAGGAAAAAAGTAGATAAAACTAAATTGTGGGGCTTGAAAATCCAGCTTTTAGAGCTGCCCCTTAACAGCGCTAGTACAACTGCTCCGGAAGCTTCCACAGTCAGTCCTCCCACAACCACGCCCTCCCACAACCACGCCCTCCCACAACCACGCCCCTTCACAACCACGCTCTCTCAAATCAAACCTTCCCACAGTCAGGACTCCAATAGCCATGCCCTCCCAAAGGTCTGCACTCTCTTAGTCACAGCCACATCCGCCAACAACCACGTCCCCTTAAAAGCCACACCCACCCTGGCCCCACCCTTTCAAGCATGCCCACTCCCAAGCCATCCTCCTCCCATTTCTCTCACAGCTCGACTTTCCCACAACCCAGCCTTCTCAGAGATTTCCCTCGATGTTTCATTGGCTAACACTCATTCTGCAAGGCCTCAGTTTCCCTACTTTAAAGTGGAGGAAACAGAATATTGCCTCAAGATATTGCTGGAGCAGGAGATGAGGTTCCATGGTGGAAGTCCCGCAGGAACTTGACTTCTAATCAAGTCGGAGGCGGAGGCTTTTGCTTTTGATATGTGGCTTAGAAGCTTAGAAGCCAACTCCAGGATCTCAGCCCCCAGGCAGCTCCTGGTGCTGTTCAGGCCTGGGCCTGCATTCCTCCTTCTGAGGTTAGGGAAGCAGGACCCCCACTCTACCCTGAGAGGATTCGGGACCTATTCTTTCGCTGAGGATCCCAGTTACTCAGCGAGTCTGGCCACGTTTCAACCGCAGCGTTTACACAGCAGCGTTCAGGTTTCCGTATTTCTCGTCTGTTTCTCCTCCCCGTTTTTCTGAAGCTGTGTGGGGCCCAATTTTGGTTATTCCCATCCTTTGATGCATTCCTGGATGCCTTGATTTGGGCTGGCATAGAACCGCGGTGGGGAAAACAGGATACATACAGAACCCACTTCACTAAGCCCGAGATCAGAGGCAAACGGCTTCTCTTGGTGTGCTTTCTCCATGGTAGTAACATGGGTTCAATTTCTCAAGCCTGGGTCAGCCCTAGACAGTAAGGGGCTGTGGATCTGACTCGGTCGGTAGAGTGCTCACCTAGCATGCAGAAAGTCCTGGCTTCCATACCTAGCGCTGCATAAAGTAGGCGTGGTGGAGCATGATTAGAATCCCAGTATTGAGAACTGAAAGCAGGAGGATCAGAAGTTCAAGGTTATCCTCCACTACATAGCCAGGCCAGCCTTGGCTACATGAGAACCTGTCTCAAAAAATAAAAAATAAAAGAATAAAAAATAAAAAAGAAAGAAAAGAAAAAAGGAAAAGGAGAGAAAGAGACCCTCAAGGAAGGTTGTTTGGGTGCCTGTAATCCCAGTGTTCAAGAGACCAAGGCAGGGAGACTGAACTTCAGGCCAACCTGGGCTACATTGATGCTGTGGAACTATCTTGTACACTGTAAATATGTATTGCTTTTAATGTTAATAAAAAGCTGATTGGCTGATAGTTGTTCAGGAAGAGACTGGGCAAGACAGCCTGACACAGAGAGAATGCTGGGAGGAAGAGGGGTGGAGAGAGGAGTCGGCAGTTAGACAGAAAATAAACAAGATGTGCTGGAAAGGTAAATGCCCCAAGCTTTGGGGCAGCACATAAATTAATAGAAGTGGGTTAATTTAAGTTGTAAGAGCTAGTTAGTAATAAGCCTGAGCTATTGGCCACACACTTATAATTAATATTAAGACTCTGAGTGGTTATTTGAGAGTGGCTGCCAGCATAGGAAAACTTGGCCTACAAATGATACCCAGTGTGGGACTCGAACTCACGACCCTGAGATTAAGAGTCTCATGCTCTATTCAAGGTAATTAATCTTGACTTGGGAGATGGTTCAGTGGGTAAAGTGCTTACTTTAAAAACAAGAGACCTGAGTTCCATCTCCGGAACCCATGTAAAAGAGCTGGGCACAGTGGCACATGCCTGTAACCCCAGCACTGGGGAGGCAGAGGAAGGTGGCTCCCCGGTGCTCTCTGGTCATTCAGGGGAACAACACCAGAGGGTAGAGCACTGGGAGTTGCTGGGGACAGCAGTGAGTGCACTGCTGGGGAAGTGGTAGGCATGGGGATGGCATTGAGCCGGGAGAAATTAAGAATGAGGTGAGGTGAGGAAGTAAGGATTTCAGATTTTCCTGTGAGCAGAGAAAGAGTTGGACCTGACTGAGGGACGTGGTTTTGTGGGTAAAGGGCTTGCCTCGCAAGCTTGAGGACCTGAGTTCAAGTCCCAGGACCCAGGTTAAAAACAGGGCGTGGTGGTGCCCACTTGTAACCCCAGCTCGGGGAAGGGGTGAATAGGTGGATCCCTGAGGCTCGCTGGCCAGGTCACCTATAGCCAGCCTGGCCGAACTGGCAAACCCCAGGCCAGTGAAAGACCTGTCTCCAAAACAAAACCAAGGTGGATGGTTGACCTCTGGCATGCATGAGGTACCTGCACACGCATGCACACACACAAACAGGGGAGAGGGACAGATGAATCAATAAAATGAAGTAAAAATTTAAAACGAGGAGAAAGTGAGTCAAGCTCACTCCCAATACTCAACACATCTTCCTGACTGTGGAGGCAATGTTTCAACTGCTCTCTCCTGATGGGCTCTGCCCTTGGACTGTGAGCCCAGATCAACCCTTCCTCCCTTTACGGGTCAGCACTCACGAAGGACCTGGAGACAGGACGGACCATCTGGGCTTCCTTGCTCAGTGCCTCGGTTTCTCAGCTGGGACATGGAGATGACCCCTAACCTCTCTCTTGTGCTGCAGTGGAGAATAGGCTTGTGTCTGTTCTGTGCAGTGAATGTCAGGTGGTATGGATGCCACCCTTGAGTGCCTCTACCCGGTCCCTCAGTCAACCACTGGCAGTGCTGGGCTGGGTTCAGGAGGTCTGCCAGACCTGGGTCACATAGGGACTGAGAGGTGGGTAGCTCTGCTCCACCAGGCTTCCTCTGCCCTTGGCAGCCGGACTCTTTAGCCCCGTGGAGGTCTTTGATGGCATTCCAGCCAACCTTTTCCAGATGTGCAGAGTGGAAGGCTTTGTAGGAACTCTCTAGGGCGTCATCTGCTTCCCCATTCCTCTTCTGCCAGACGATCCCCTGCTGGATGGCCCCCTGCTCTGGTGGGGTTGCCTGCTACTCAGGGGGCTGATGCCTGCTGGGCTAAATGGAGTTCTGATTTAAATACTTTAAGATGCGGTCTTTCCTTCCTGTCCCTCCTCCTCTTCATCCCTCCCCCATTCTTCCTCCTTTTTTTGTCCCTCCTCCTCCTCTTCTTCACCCTGACTGTGAAGTGGAAGCTCAGAGCCCCCCCCCCCCCCCCCCCCCGTGTCTGGGGATGTCTCCCACCCCTGTGGACCTGAGCTAAAATGGAAGAAGCTGTGTGCTGCGCTGCGTCTGCTGTATTTTCCCTGTTTTTTCTTGGTGTGTGTGTGTGCACATGCATGAATATGTGTGCAGGTATTCAGTTCTATCTCAGGTGGTACTAGAGTTTCCACCTTGGTTTTTGAGATATGATCTTTCATGTAGCTTCAAATTTACCATTTTGGCTCGGTTATCTGGCCAGCAAGCCCCAGGGATCCTCCTGTCTCCACCTTGACACTTAAATATTGTTGTTGTTGTTGTTGTTGGTGGTGGTGGTGGTGGTGGTGTGTGTGTGTGTGTGTTAATGTGACAGTCAGAAGACAAACTTTACGGAGCCAACTGTCTTCTTCTATGTTTACATGGGTTCCAGGAATTGAACTAAGGTCTCTAGGCTTGGGTGGCAAGCCCTTCACTCACTGAGCCATCTTGCTGACCCATGACCAACATTTTTCACGTGGATACTAGGGATCAGGTTCTGATCCTAATCCTTTCAGGCTTTACTCAGCTCTCTCTCCAGCCTCCACCTGATTCCATCATTGTTTGAGATGAAACCTACCTACCTACTCACTAGGTAGCCTGGCTTATCTCAAACTCACAATCCTCTTGCCTCAGTTTCTCAAGTGAGCCACCCTGACTGGCCGGTTGCCCCTTTCATCTGACACTGGAGAGTGCCAGAGGCCAGAGACAATCCTTCCATCCTCAGTATTGCAGTGGAACCACCCCTCCCTCCCTGCTGGTCTTCTGCTGTTAGCCAGGAGATAAATAATTCCCCTCCCAGCATTGCCTCCCCGGTTCCTGCCTTGCTACCTTCCAGCCTGTTCCTCTTCGTTCTCTGCTGAAGAAGCAGGGACCCATGCAAGCCAGGGAGCCTGGGAGGATGGCCTTCCCAGTGAGAGACAGACGTCAGACTCTTTTGGATAAAGAATTAGGCCTGAGCCAGTGGCTTCTGGGTCATGTAGTATCCAGGATCCCATTAAGAGACCTTATGTTACTATAGGGAGTTCACCTTAGAAGGGCCGAGGGTTATGGCCTCTGCTCATCTATCTCTAGTGTAAAGGTAACTTATGCCTGATGGGAATACCTCCTTCAATCTCTCTTTTTTTAAATGTGTGTGTGTGTGTGTGTGTGTGTGTGTGTGTGTGTATGTACATGTGTGTGTCATGGCACACATGTTGAGGCCAGAGGACAATTTTCAGGAGTCGAGTCTCTCTTTCCACCAAACAGGTCCTGGGGATTGAGCTCAGGTGGTCAAGCTTGGCAGCAGGTATCTTTACTGCCTAGGCCATCTTGCCAGCCCTTCTAATCTCTTTTAATGCAGCCTACTTTTGGGGACACATTGGGCATGTCTGAAGCCTTCCAGGACAATCACTGCA